TTTTGTTCAAGTTGATAATTTATAAAATAAAGTTAAAAACAAACGTCATATAAATTAGTTTAAAATTTACTGTACGAATGTTCAATGTTCAAATTAGAAGTATTTTTTGACAGCTGTCAGTGTTATTACCGAACGTCAAACATTTGACGTATGTAATTCCAACCATTAGATACAAACACCATTGGCATTTAAAATAGTTTCAAATTAAATAAAAATAAACTAATGAATCATATACGTCATATATTTGACATATGACAGAAGTATTTTTTGACAGCTGTCATTATTATTACCGAACGTCAAACATTTGACATGTGTAATTTCAACCATTACAAATAAACATCATTCACGTTTTAATTAGTTTACAATTTACTTTATGAATGTTTAATTTAAGTAAAAATAAACTATTGAATGATATACGTCATATATTATCATATGACAGAATTATTTTGTGACAGCTGTCAACCGAACGTCAAACATTTGACATGTGTAATTCCAATCATTAAAAATAAACGTTATTCACGTTTAAATTAGTTCAAATTTTACTAAATGAATATTCAATTTAAGTAGAAAAAAAAACTGTTGCTAAATTAATATTTACCTTATTTTAAAACGTGTCAATTTTGCAATAATTGTAATTAAAAATTATGTTGGTACCATGTTAGTATATCTAAAAGAAATATATTAATATTCACAAATCTAAATTTTAAAAAAAAATCATTTAAGTGCATTTGACAGTGTAATAATTTAGTGATAATTAATAGTTTGTAAATACGAAAATTAGGTGTTAAATAGGAATCATTAGCAACGATGTTGTGCGTCAGGTGTAATTAGTTGCGACGTATGTAATTGGAGACGTCGACAAACATGGAGATCGAAAAGAGCCGAGGTCTTCGGATTCCTGCATATTTCTGCAGATTTTCTACCACGAGAATGAGCTTTCTATCCTTCGGAGATCATCTCTTGGTTAACGCTTATTTGGATGAAAAAATAAAATTGGAGAAGTAAACGCAACGTACGGAGAGGATACATAATACGGGAAAGTTATAATTAACTGTGCAGACTTTCTCATGCAAACACTTTAATGAAAAAATATATATCGTTGGCGCGGATATATCGTTTCCTCTACTTATGGCTAAAAGAAAAGGTAAAACTAACTGCTTGATGGCGAACGAAGACAAAACGGCCCAAAAGTGGAGGAACTGTAAACGCATCGGGAATCCCACGCGCGACCTTGAACCTCGCGACAGTTATCCTCCTCCGGTGACCGACTAACCAACTGCATCATCCTCTTGATGCATCAACCGCATTCATCATATACAAATAAAAATGCACGCAAATGATTACCATTAAAAACTTCGAATTCCAAAAGTTGACCTTCGCGTATTTCGTTCTTTTCGTCGTGGAATAACAGCGAATTGTTCGCGTTTCGAATACATTATAAAAATCGAAGGATAATACCATTATTTTCATTTCGTATAGAAAGCGAGTTAAAATTCTGCAACGCGAACGCGTTGCATAACAGTACATAACATCAACTATGATCATCATCATCATTACCATCACATCATTGTTACGCTTCTTCATCTTAAGTGTATACACTAAGATTACCACAACGGAATGGGTTTGGTCCGTGAAAAAACTGCAGGACCACACCGGCTTCGACTCGGTATCCTTGGATCCTTTTTTTTTTAGAATGTAGCTGTGACACAGTGTTTACATATTGTATTTTTTTTCTCTTCATCTCCTGGTATTTCTGTTCTCTATCTCGCTTATTACGGACACGAGTTATAGTCATTTACTTGGAATCCAGTTTCGGTTTTGTTTCGACTCTTTGCGTTTATTATGTAGTATGTGTGTGCGTATTTATTTCGCACGCGGACGGGTCGAGAACCTTGTTCTAATACAAAAATTTATATTCCATTCGGATTTCATCACGAAAAAAATATCTTTGCTGTACGGTAAAATGTACGAATCTTTTCATCGAATCACGAATTTTGAACTTAGCATTTCATGAGTTCAAATTTCGCAATGATTTACGGATAACGACAATAAAAGCTGCAATAAACCAATTGCACATATTGTATTGTCTATAGTCTTTTTTCATCTTTTAGCATTAATAAACGACTGAAACTAGAATAGTTTTTTTGAGTAATTCCATAAATCGTGAAGAGTAGTCTTCAATGTACAAACTTGAATTTGAATTACAAGTTTACCATTAATTGTTGAATTTCCCAAATATCCAGCAATAAACCAATTGCACATATTGTATTGTCTATAGTTTCTTTCATCATTTAGCATTAATAAACGATTGAAACTAGCTTAGATTTTTGAGTAATTCCATAAATCGTGAAGAGTAGTTTTCAATGTACAAACTTGAATTTGAATTACAAATTTACCATTAATTCTTGAATTTCCCAAATATCTACCAATAAACCAATTACACATATTGTATTGTCTATAGTTTTTTTCATCTTTAAGCATTAATAAACGACTGAAACTAGCTTAGGTTTTGAGTAATTCCATAAATCGTGAAGAGTAGTTTTCAAAGTACAAATTTGAAATTGAATTACAAGTTTACCATTAATTCTTGAATTTCCCAAATATCCAGCAATAAACCAATTGTACATATTGTATTGCTTATAGTTTTTTTTTCATCTATAAGCATTAATAAACGACTGAAACTAGCTTAGTTTTTTTGAGTAATTCCATAAATCGTAAAGAGTAGTCTTCAATGTACAAATTTGAATTTCAATTACAAGTTTACCATTAATTATTGAATTTCCCAAATATACAGCAATAAACCAATTGCACATATTGTATTGTCTATAGTTTTTTTCATCTTTTAGCATTAATAAACGATTGAAACTAGCTTAGTTTTTGAGTAATTCCATAAATCGTGAAGAGTAGTCTTCAATGTACAAATTTGAATTTCAATTACAAGTTTACTATTAATTCTTGAATTTCCCAAATATCCAGCAATAAACCAATTGTACATATTGTATTGCTTATAGTTTTTTTTCATCTTTAAGCATTAATAAACGACTGAAACTAGCTTAGTTTTTTTGAGTAATTCCATAAATCGTAAAGAGTAGTTTTCAAAGTACAAACTTGAATTTGAATTACAAGTTTACCATTAATTCTTGAATTTCCCAAATATTCAGCAATAAACCAATTGCACATATTGTATTGTCTATAGTTTCTTTCATCTATAAGCATTAATAAACGACTGAAACTAGCTTAGATTTTTGAGTAATTCTATAAATCGTAAAGAGTAGTTTTCAAAGTACAAATTTGAATTTGAATTACAAATTTACCATTAATTCTTGAATTTCCCAAATATTCAACAATAAACCAATTGCACATATTGTATTGTCTATAGTTTCTTTCATCTATAAGCATTAATAAACGACTGAAACTAGCTTAGATTTTTGAGTAATTCTATAAGTCGTAAAGAGTAGTTTTCAAAGTACAAATTTGAATTTGAATTACAAATTTACCATTAATTCTTTAATTTCCCAAATATCCAGCAATAAACCAATTGCACATATTGTATTGCCTATAGTTTTTTCATCTTTTAGCATTAATAAACGACTGAAACTAGCTTAGTTTTTTGAGTAATTCCATAAATCGTGAAGAGTAGTCTTCAATGTACTATCTTAAATTTGAATTAAAAGTTTACCATTAATTCTTGAATTTCCCAAATATCCAGCAATAAATCAATTGCACATATTGTATTGTCTATAGTTTTTTCATCTTTAAGCATTAATAAACGACTTAAACTAGCTTAGTTTTTTGAGTAATTCCATAAAACGTGAAGAGTAATCTTCAATGTACAAATTTGAATTTCAATTACAAGTTTACCATTAATTCTTGAATTTCCCAAATATCCAGCAATAAACCAATTGCACATATTTTATTGTCTATAGTTTTTTCATCTTTAAGCATTAATAAACGACTGAAACTAACTTGTTTTTTTAAGTAATTTCATAAATCGTTGAGAGTAGTTTTCAATGTATAAATTTACGCTTTTTACGAGCGTTAATTTTTTATTTTTTTAAACTTTGAACCCAAATAGAAAAAAACACAATAATAATATTAATGCGTATTGCATTCCCCAAATATCCAGCATTCATATGCATCCTTTGGATTCATTCTAGATATTATAGTTTTTGAGAAAAACACTGAAATGTGCAGACACGTTATTTTTTTTATCATTTGATTTTGGTCCAAAAAAAATGGTGAAACTTTATGTGAAAACTTCAATTTCTTTACTTAAATTACCCAATTATTTCATATAATTTCTATTAAACAAAATTAAACCCAATTTAATCATCGAATGACACCATCTTCTACCAATACCCCATTAAAGTAAACGGTTGTTTATTGTTCATTCACGTTGAATTGAAAGAACGTTTCCAATCTGAAATCGATTCGAGAAAACGTTTATGCAACCAATCATTATTTTCTAATAACATTCCATTCCACCGACAATAATTTCAATGAAAGAAAAAGAAATAAATACCAAAAATTATGGAATTTCCTTAATACGATATTAATTTCGAAAAGAATACAAAAACAGACAAAAAAAAGAAACATAGTTTTAGTAAATTTGAATTGTTGTTTATTTCTATTAATAGCTTGAAATTACTCAATATTTGATTTATAACGAATTTTATTAGAACGTTGCGATACGTAAAATATTTAAATTTATTGCAGGTGCAAACAACGCTAATAAATGGATTTGCAATATTCGCTGATTACATTTCTCAACTTAATTTTTTTTAACTATAATTAAGTTTGTCGATTATTAAAATTGCATCATGCAGATTTATTGCTTATAATAGATTTAGTATTTTAGTGGAAAATCCGCGCAAAGAATGACGCATAGCTTGAGAATATTGAAAATATTGAATTGGATTTTGACAGGACCAACACCCACGATGTATAATTGCGTAAGATATAGTTAAATGTAATGCTTAGTTTGGATAACAATTTCGTACCTTATGTTGAAATTTAGGACGAAAATGGTTTGATCCAGATGCAGTTGAAGATGTCCACTGGATGTTCACGGCAAGCACATTGTTGTCTATAAACACTTATAAGCACTTATTGTTTGTGTAAAATTGATTATAAACGATTGTTGTGTCGATTGGTTTTGCACTGGTTTTAATATGTGGATCGGATGCGAAAAAGTTGTCGGTGAGCGCGCGCTCGCTCCGTTCTTGTTCTCGAGGTCTGCAAGAGCTTACTACTCCGGACTCTGAGCGACTCGTATACTCCAGTCAGGTGAGAGAGAGAGATGGACCTCTCCTCAATGGTAACGGGCTATTTGGCGAGTGGTGGCCTTTCTCTTTGGTGTTCTTTCAGCAACAATACCGTAATGCTAGCCCGTCTAGCACGGCCACCTCGACGCGCTTTATTATTATTATTGCATCTTCTCCATTATCACTTACTGCTGCTGCTACAGCACTCGAGTTTTCCTTGTTTTTCTCTTGTTCTCGTTCCTCTGCTTCTGTAACTAGAGATCCATGGAAAGTGATTATTGAATGTAAAACTTTATAATTGGTCATCCATCTGGCACAGCCACCGTTCCACTCGCTGCCCACAATCGTACACATATTCCAATTCCAAACTTGCTTTTACTCTTCTCACTCTCATCACATATTCATCGCTACTTAATGCAATAAGAAAAAAAGAACTGCGTTACTCTCTTCAAACTACATACCCAACAACCAATTAATCAAATTTTCTTCTAATACTCTCTATTTTTTTTTCGCACTTTCTTCACAACTCCTACATTGTACTTACTAGCATGTACACTTAGTACTAATTAGAAACAAGATACGCGTCGTAATTAAACATTTAAATCTAGTTATCATAAAAAAAAATTAAGAAACAAACAATATATAAAGTAAGAAATGTATCTTGCGCAATTAGTATTTTATTTGTTCGTTGCGTAAGTGTAGATAGTTTATTTAAATGCCAGCTAATAATACGCTACTTACAATGTTGTATGCGATGTGAAACCTTCCTGCAGAACGTGAAATTTGAATCGTATTACAAACTGGTTTAATTTCCTATACGAAGCGCTCGATTCAGTTTATTTTAATTAATTACTAATTAGTCCTTTGTTTTTTTGCATGTTTTTAGGAAAATAATTGAATGAGAAACTTTAGATAAATAGAATAAATATTTACTTACATAATTACAAACAAAAGAATTAAGTAAACAAAAACAATCATTGTTAACTTCAATTTAGTTTATTTTAATTTATTTTTAAGTGATTCTAATTTTTTTTTTAAAGAAATATTTGTGTTTTAATTCGTTAATAATAGTCGTTATAATATAGTTAATACTTTATCAAATTTTAAATAATGTTATTTGTGTTGCCTATCTTAGTTATAAGTTTTGTAAATTAGTTGAATCATTAGTCTAATATAACTTAATGGTAATTCCTTGGATTGATTAGGATCTTTATAATAACTGGAGAATTAGTGTACTTCAGTAACTAAAGTTTTATATGATATTATGATGGTAATATCAAATTCAAAACTGAAATTGATAATATAGTACAAGTACATTTGGTTGCCTGCTCGGGGGAATCCCCAAATCGATCAGCTGTAGACAGAGAGTCAATGTTTTGATGCAAACGTCAGTATCAAATGGTTAATAAAGCAGTGAACAGTAGTGATTGACGGTGCAATGTCTGCAGCGATGTTAACAGCGGATTGGTTCTTGTTAGGACGAGATCTATATTTTAGGTAAGTTAAAACTCTTAATATTCCAACAAATTGTTTTCATTTTTAACCTTTCCTAATGAAACTTGCAGAAAATTCGAAATATACTCGTTGGGATGGCAACGAGACGTTAATGTAAATAATGTTATTGCTGTGGCTGCCCCTTACGGGGGCCCAATTGCAGTTAGAAGGGACAACAAGAAGTTGGTTAAGGTGCAAGGCAGCGGTCAGTTGATAATTTCCATCTACTCCGGCTCAGCCAGACACATCAAATCAATTAAAGTAATGTATAATTTATTAAATTTCTGGATTGTAAATTGATTTGTTTTTTAGTGGGAGGGTAAACCTGTTGTGAAGATAGGATGGTCCAATGATGAGAGACTGATTTGCGTGCAGGAGAATGGTAAAGTTACAGTGCAGGATGTCTTTGGCAGCTTCGAGCATACCTTCACCATCAGCCAGAAGCTTAATTCTAAAGTGGTTGATGCTGCTATCTTCACTAATCCACAGAACTTCACAGGCATTGCTGTGTTAACAGAAGCCAATAAGATTTTCTATATTGAGAATATTTATGATCCCAAAGAGAAGCAACTCAGTGATTTACCAAGTAATTAATTAATGTTGATTTATTGTAAGGGATTTTAATTGATATTTGTTTATTTAGGAGTTGGTCGGCAGCCGACAAGTTGGGTGGTCATTTCTCAAGATAGATTAACTGAGGTGCTTATAGCTAAAGAGAAGGCTTTGTTTAGATTAACCAGAGATGAGCATCATCCCAGCAGCATGGTAAGAATGAAATTGCTCAATTAGTTAGTTGAATATTATTGTTTATTTTGTAGTTAGTTGCTGATGTTGCACATGAGTACACTTCCATCATCAAGATGGCTGTGTCGATAAACGCAAGGCATGTGGCTTTCTTCACTGATGCCGGTTACCTCTGGATGGGCTCATCGGATTTGCGCACTAAATACTGCGAACTTGATACGGAGATGATCACGAAACCGAAGCAATTAGTATGGTTCGTTTTATGGTATAATCATCTAACAATTATCTAGATTGATGATTTATCTTCTATAGGTGTGGAACGGAAGCGGTGGTTGCTTTTTGGGAGAAAGACTACACCTTGATGGTGATGGGAAGACACGGAGAGAAAATGACTTACTCGTACGAGGCGTGCGTCCATTTGGTGCCGGAAATCGATGGAGTCCGTATTCTATCGGCGACGCAACACGAGCTCGTACAAAAGGTTCCCGATGTTGTCCAGAAGATATTCAGAATCAACAGCACCGATCCCGGAAGCTTCCTGCTTGAAGCCTCAAAGCAATTCCAGGTTGATTATATTGTTAATTAATTTTTATTATAAATAATCTAATTGGTTGATGATTTTAGAGGAGGAGTCATAGAGCGGATGAGTACATTTCATTGGTTAACAAGAATTTGGGGCGGGCCGTAGAGCAGTGCATCGAAGCCGCCGGTTACGAGTTCGACACTGAAGTTCAGAAAATGCTGATCAGGGTAATTAGTTTACATTTTGGAGAAAGTATTGATTTACTTATAAATGTATTTTAGGCCGCTCAATTCGGAAAATGCTTTGTTTCGAGCATCGATTCCGATGAGTACGTTGAGATGTGTCGATTGCTTAGAGTTTTAAACGCGGTTAGGGATCCGAGAATAGGCATTCCCATGACCAAAACCGAGTAAGATTTTCTTATTTATTATTAAAACCGGTTTAGTTTACATATCTTTGTATTTGCAGATATGATTGTTTATCGCGTGGTAAATTGCTGGATCGATTAGTGACAAGAGGACAATATTTCTTAGCCATTCAAATCGCCAAGTATTTGAAGATGCCTGAAAAAGAAGGCAGTAACAGGATTTTGGTGCATTGGGCTAAATATAAAGTAAGGTTTCTTTGAAATCTAAATATAAGATTTTATAAATATTGGGTTTGAAATTAGGTTGGTAAACATCAGCCGGTGGATGATGAGATGATAGCTAAGGAGATTGGAGATAAATTAGGTTACACCCCAGGGATTTCTTACAGTGAGATTGCGAAAACCGCTTCGGATAATGGTCGTACAAAGTTAGCAATCAAAGTATGTATTTTATACGACGAATTGTACTTTGAATCTAAATGTGTGTTTGTTCTCTCTCTATCAGTTGTTGGATTACGAGCCTCGGGCTAGTGAACAAGTGAAACTATTAGTGGATCTGAAGGAGTACAAACCAGCTTTGGTAAAAGCCATAGAAAGCGGTGACACGGATTTGATCTACGATGTGATATTGAAGTTGCGCGGACACATGACCATGGGCGATTTCAAAGTAATATTACTATTATTGCTTACAATTGAACTATTATTAATGTGATTGAATTTCAGCTATTGCTTCATGAATATTCTGTGGCCATAGCTTTGTACATCAAGTACTGCAAGGAACACGACCCAGAGGCGTTAACCGAGATTCTTATACAGGAAGACGATTTTGATTCGCAGGCGCAGCAGCATTTGATAGCTAGTTTAGATGAAAAGGTTTATTTTTTTTAAACTTATTTTATAGTGAATAACTGAATACAAATTGTTGTTTTTAGAAAAATTGGGATCGCGAAATGAACGTTTCCAGTGCGCTTAAAGCTTATAAAGTGAAACGAAACGATTTGAACGCGTCGATTTGCGAGGAAACCGTGCGGTTGTTCAAACACCAGAAGACGTTTGAAGAGAAACTGAAGAAACAGTTCGTCGGGAAATCGGCGCACGACACTTGCAGAGAGCTATTGTTGATGGAAGAATTTAAACTTGCCGAGAAGTTTAAAGGCGAATATAAAATACCCGATAAAAGGTAAATTTATTGTGTTTTTTTGTTCGTTTAAGTCAGTGGTTTCCAAACTTGAAGTTACTACGCCTCCCTCAAAAGTATGTAATCATTTGGCGCCTCCCCTTTCATAGAAGGAACGCGATATGGATAAGAGCACAGGCATGTATCTATACTTGCTGGATTCCCCAAACAGTAAATCAATGAAATGTAAAAAC